ACCCCGAGGGAGCGAATCCCAAAAGTTGAAAGTTGCAGCAACGGAGCCGCGCAGGCGCGGTCCGGGCCCCACCGGCCGCTCTTAAAAGGGCAACGATCTTAAAAGGGCAACGGAGCTTCTTAAAAGGGCAATGCCCTTAAAAGGGCAACAGAGCCTCTTAAAAGGGCAACAGGGCCCCTTAAAAGTGACCCACGGGTGAAGCGGTGAGTCACAGCTTTATAAAATAAAAACATTTTATAAATTGCCTAAATATATTAAATATCAATATATTTATATAATACATATACTACAAATATGTATTATAAAATATATATATATTCATCAATATATTTCTATTATATATATATTATATACATTATATAATATATATTAATAGAACAATATTGTAATAGGTTTCATATAGTATATAATATATATTATAATTATAGCAATAATTAGAATAATAATGCTATATATTATAATTTTATAAAATATCAATATATTATATATTGATTATGTAAAATATATAGTATATCACGATATATTATATAATATACAATAATATTTAATATATATTAATTATATAAATAAATATATATTAAATTTCAATAAATATCCTAAACATACCTAAAAATGTTGTGTTTGAAATTCTCCATATATATCGAATATCACTACATTCATATATTAAATGCTCCTTAGAACATAAAAATTAATTCCCTAATACATGTATTTTTATATATTAAAACACACAATTTTTAAATCAATAAACTAGGGAAAGGAGGGCAGAGCCGCTCTGACTGATATTAAAGAAATTTTTTGGGGTCTGGGGGGGATGTGATGCTTTTTTGGTGCCCTAAAGGACAATGAGGATCACGCTGCTGTAAGAGTGGAGCCCTGAAAGATGCTCCCAAAAAACCAAAATCTGCTTGAATCCCCTCTCCGAGCCCTGCAGCCCCAAAACTGACCCTGGGCTCCCCAAATTCCCCATCCCCGTCACAGCCACCGTGCCAGAACCCTCCTGCACTGCTCCCAAATCTGCTTTTTCCTGCCAGGGAAACTGAGGCAGGGCCACGCGGCAATGCCCTGCCCGACCCATCCCTCTCCCCAAACCCATCCGTGCCCCGGGGCCCGCCTGTTGCCTGCAGAGGATCTTTATTTGTGCTCTTAATTGCTGGTTTTTCACATGCATATTTATCCACCTGGCAGCCAGGGAAAGGCTCCCCTGGCAAACCAGTCCAGCAGGGACTCCCTTGCCTGGGGAAACTCCTCCTGCTTCCCACCCGTGCCCTGGGCCCAGGTTTCTGATGAAAAAAAA